GCCTGTGTGGCTGAAAAACCCAGACCTCTAGGTTCAGAGAGACAGAGAGAGAGAGAGATCTGTCTCTCCTAATCACTTGGCCTGGGAAGGGCCTACTGCTCCCTCTCAAAACTTTGGTGACCGCAGCACCTGAACAGCCTGCTACCTCTGCCTTGCATGACAGCACTCCTCCCAGACCAGACCAGCACAGGTCACCAGGCAACGGGAGTCAAATCCTGAAGGTGTTCGCTAAGGGCCTGGATAGGAACAGAGAAGGGCCTGGAAGCAACTGCCCCTGGCTCCTCCGTGGTCTTGTGAGTAACCCCAATGGAGTCATTGGCTCTCCAAGGCAGACGCTGTGGAGATCAGACTCTGGTCCACTGACGGTCCCCTACCTGGGATGCATAGATGTTTGTGGAGATTCTGCTAGGAAAGTCACACACTTTCACTACCTGAGCATGGAGAGAGCAAAGACAGGTCTGTGGAAAGGAGCGCCGGCAATGGGCGAGCGACCTGCAGCTGTGAGGGGAGCATTTGCAACACAGCCCTGCTGTCACTGCCTTTCCCCACGTGGTCTGGGGTGGTGGGCCACCTTGCTGCACTGGTGACTGGGTGCTCTCTGAGGTGCGGTCATGTGCAACCAAGGCTGCGCTACCTGGGAAGACTCCCAAGGCAGCCATCTTCTGTTGGCATAGAGTGGTGCACAGCTTTGATGAATGGGGTCTTCTTTGTGGGTGTTGCTGATAGATTAAAGTACACATTGCAGTCCCTAAAACCAGCACTTGTGGGACTAGATCGTAATTAGGCTATGGCAATGGTGGCAACGGTGGCTAGGGTGTATGGCCGTTTTGTGGATGGTAAGTTATGCTCAAGAGCCCTTCCAGGAAGACCTGCCCATTGTAAGTGAGGAGTTACAGTAGGAAAAGGACATTAACTTGCTAGCCTTTAATGAGCACCTGACTCGACAGGGAGAGTACTGAGGGAAGAGTAGCATGAGATGGAAGGATGGAAGGGAAGTGTTGGAGCATTTCCTGCACTGACAGGAAGGGAAGGGAGAGAGCGACCAGGTTAGAGCCCTTCCTGGGATCCAAAACTGTGGAACTTGTAGAGTCAGGCATCAAGGAGGAGAAGATATGATAGAAGACACCTCTCAGGGCCAGTTAATGCAGAAGGGACAATCCATGGCTCAGCATTCAGAGTTGGGATGTGGGAAGTTAAGACAGCCAGGGAGCATTCTGCCCTGATCTGCTGGACTTGGGACTTGCCTTGGTTCAAGAAGAAAAGGGTCAGAACCGCAGGTATCAGTTTGTGACAAGAAGAGATGGCAGAGGTGGGAAACCATAGGACCCTTGGCCAGCAGGAATCCCAGAGCTCTGAGCACCTGAGCTTGTGCTTTCCAAGGAGCAGGCAGTTTCTGCAGCTCTGGGAAGGAGACCAACCCACTGTGTTCATTCCTTCTCACTGGGCCCCCACCACTGAAGGTTCGCTACCACACTGAAGGCAGATAACTCCTCCTAAGCCTGCCTGAGCCTCCATTCTGGCTCCTCCTGGAAGCCGCTATTCTCCAGGCTAAAGCAGATGTGAAAGAACCAGCCACAGCTCATCTCATGAGGCTGTGGCACATGAGGGCACATGTATTGTGAAGATGGAGAAAGAGAATAATTTAATTATTTATCCCTCATTGGGACAAGGACTGCAGAGCCTGGGGTAACACAAGGGAAATCAGTAGCTGATGAGCCAGCTCATATGAGCCACTAAGGACACTCCCTTGTCACCATATTTGGTTCCCATGATTACCAAGGACAGGAAAGCAATGAAGGAAGAGGAGGCTTGCTATGAGAACTGGGCATTAGAGCAGCAGTGTTAGTTGTCAAATTTGCCTAGCCAGATAGTACCGTGTTGACTGGAAAGTAAGAAAGGGGCTGGTTCAACAGAGGCATTGGGAAGGTTATGGGGTGTCTGTGGCCTTGTGAGCTGTGCTGGGGCTGGTCTTTATGAGCTCTCTAAGATCTGAATGACTTTGACTAGCATGTAAATTGCCTCTATAAAGTGCAATGTCAATCAAATGAGGTAAGGGAAGGGCGGGACAGACAAAGAAGGCTGCCCAGCTCACTCAAAGACAAACGTGGTAAAAATGTGTCAGGGTGGAGTTCCCAGAGGGTGAAAAATGAACAGAAAGCCAAACACTGTGCTAGTGGGCTTCTGGAAGGCCCTAAAGCCTGAGCAACAGTTGATAGAGGGGATTAAACCTGTTTTAGGGATGAACAATCAATTATCCCTCCCTCTACCACACACGATGCAAACTACGCTGGGAATAAAGGTTGCCCGCCTAAACCAGGACCCTTCTAGCAGCCAGGTGAGGTTCATGGAAATGCAAGGGCCACAGTGTTAATCTGGATCCTGTCCAAACAGGGATCTGGCTTCAGCAGGAGACACAACAGGGTAAAGAGCCAGAACTTCCGAGACCAGCAGGAGTGCAAACACAGAGACCCCACACGTATAGCGGGACACCAGGAGAGTGGGACAGACGATTCTTAGAAAGTGAGGGTGGGGGTTCACGGAGGACTAAGGAGAATAATGTCTTCCATCCTTCTGTTGCACTCAACATCATTCTTTGACAAAACGACTCAGACAATAGTGAGACCATTTCATGCTGTTTGGGGCCTTGCTAACTCTGCAGTTCCTAGCCTCCCTGGCACTTACTTGGAGTGGATGGCTGTGGGCTGTTAGCACTCCTGCCTACCCCCTTTAAAGGGGTTCATTACATCATGCTAGCTAGCCCAGAGTGTCACACCAAACCCACAGGACATGTTCCTGGAGACAGGAAAGGGGTGTGCTGTAGATCTGATTCACAGTACCATGCAACTGGGAATTCAGCAGCTGTCTGGAGACTGGAGACCCTTGGGTGCTGCATGGCTTGGCCCAAGAACAAACATGTCAGAACCACAGGAACCAGTTATGTCACTCTTGGTGCAGAGATGACAGATGTGGGAAATCACAGGACCCTTGGCCAGTAGGAATCCCAGCACTCTGAGCGTCTGGACTTGTGGCTCCTAAGGAGCAGGACGTTTCTGCAGCTCTAGGAAGGGAGCAGGCCCCGGTGTGTATTCATTCTCTCTGGGCCCCCTGGCACTGAAGGTCTCCTTCCACACTGACGGTAGGAGCTTCGTCCAGAGCCTGTCTGACCTTCCATTCGATTCCGCTTGGATACTGCTACACTCACCGCTATACCACCAACACACACCACTGGCTCCTCCTCTCTAGTGCTAACACCTGCAGAGGACAGTCATACAGAGACAAAAGAGGAGACGCTTGGCAAGGAGGCCCCATCTGAGGTCAGTGCTCCTAATCGCGGGGCACAGCCATCTGCTGCAGCCACACTAACTCACCAGTGTGGGGCAGCAGAGTTTCTGGGAGCTCAGGGTTGAGAGGAAGAAGCTTCCATTAAGCAGCAAGATCCCAAGTTGCGAGGGGGAACAACAGAATCCAAAATATGAAAGTGTGCAGTGGAGTTACACACTGAGAAAGGTGGCCCAGGGTTCTTGAGATACAGGCCGGAGGAGAAGCCAGAGGGCCAGAGTCACAGAGATGATATGCAGACATTTAGCATTTGGGCAGGTAGATGACACCAGGGAATGTTTGCAGTGAAACCCATGATGCCACTGGTCTGTGAGATTCAGGGAGTCAAGACAGAGGCACGGCTTTGCTCAACAAGGCTTCAGACTTGTCAAAGAATCTTAAAGTGCAGGGGTGGGTTCTTACGGCCCAGCTCTCCTGCTTTCTGTCGGGATGTTTTGGGGACCATTCCCAGCCTTGGACTGTTGAAAGGATAGCAACACTTGGACCTTCCAGGTGCAACTGTTGTGAGGAGCTATGCACACATGGAGTTACTGTTTCCTATAATTAAATTGTTACATCTCTATAAATGCAGGAACTTGTGCATCTGAGCTGAGGCTTTCAGGCAGTTCACTGGCCTTGTGCGCTGTGAGGCATGTGCAAGGCTGAGTGGGAGTGTTGTGATCGGCACCGAGGCAGCAGCGAGGCCCTGCGCTCCACCACAGTGAGCACTGCCGATGCACGTCAGCTTTGAGTTACTTTTTGCTCACTGCACGTTGAGGGAACCATATATTGTTGCCAGGACCCCACTCTGTATCTGACTCTGATTTAAGAAACTGGTTAGTTTAAGGCAACATTTTGAGCCTTTTGCTACGTCCCCGAAACTGGAGGCAGTGCAACTTTTTCACACATAATTGCATTTTTTAATAAAAATTTAAAATGTATGAAGTGCAGAGTTTTCCAAATTGGAGAACTGCAGATGCAAAGCCTGTCTGTCTGTGCTGTCTGGAAGAAACCAGAGGCCAGACTAGATTCCGTCCTTGAACCCCTGGATAGAGGTGCCAATATCAGGGTCAGGATGGAGTGCAGAGAATTGTGGGAACTCCAGGTCCATCTCTGTCATCTCTCTCTCCCCATGCTTCATGGTACCATAGCAGGGACAGCAAACCCACACACCTGTGCCTGGCCCGAGCCTCAGCCTTTCTCCCCAGCACTCACATGGCCAGAATTTGAAGGTGACTGATGGGAGCAGCAAAGGCTGCAAAGAAGACAGATTGGCCTAGGTGACTATCAAGGAATGGCAACCGGCGGGGAGGGCCCACCTACAGGGGTTTGGGGTTCAGAGTAGAGACACGGGAACCTCTTTCTGGGCTCAGGAGCCTCACTCTGGGAGGCTCTCCTGAGTCCTGGAAGTGGTTTTCCACCTCCACGTTCTCCTCAACAAAGAGCTCATGGCACAGGGTGAAAAAGATCATCCTGTGAACAAAAGCAACTGAACCAAGGAGTGTGGGACGATTGTGATTGAGTAACATCCTTCTCCCCAACCCATGGGATTGAAACGCAAGCAGGGGACCATTTGTTCATTTGTATTTTAGTTGGGGTCCTCTGTGGGTGAGCTTTTGCACCCCTGCCCCCTGATGTTCTTTTGTACTACAGTGAAATACCCTTGACTGGCCTGGACTCACCTTGTAGACCAGGCTGGCCTCCACCTCCCAGAGTGCTGGGATCACACGTGTGCGCCACCACGCCCGGCTTGAGATGTTCCCATTCATGCTCTGGGGTACTGTCATTTTCAACCTCTGCTCTTTCCCCTGTTATAAAACATATTATTATTATTATTATTATTCCTATTTCCTCCTCCTTCTTCCTTCTCCTCCTCCGTCTTTTTCCTCCTTCCTTCCTCCTTTTCTTCTCTCTTCTTCTTTGGCTTATTCAATATTGTGAAATAGGATTTTTCTACTGTGAAGTCCTTCAGCGTATCTGCTGGAAGATCCTTCCTGCAGGGGCTGGGGTGTTTACTCAAGAGTCTGGCAGGCTGTTTTTTTAGCGTTTTGTTCCTCATTCTTAGACTTCCCTGTGTGGTGTCATAGTTTTCTTTTCTATACTGTTTTTGTCCATTTTGAGGATTAAGGTTTAAAATTCTGTGAAGTCCAGTCTTGTCTTTTTGTGTGTTTTGGATCATGGCCTAAACATTGGGATTTATGTCCTATTAATAAATGAAATAATTTATCACAAACCATCTCCTGGTACTCAGTTTTTAATATGTCCTCTGTTATATTTTTGGTTTTTAGAGTTGGTTTGGAAATGTGTTTTTAAGATACTCACTCCTTCCACCAAGATTTAAGAACTATCAGCTTATCATTTTCCCATCATTTTATTATAATTTGATCTACCTTCTATTCTCCATTTTGCATGCCTGGGTTTCTCTTTATTAAAATAAAGCAAGGGTGTCAGGGGAAACAGCTTTGTTGGTGAGGTTTTTGCCATGCAAGCATGAGGGCCTCAATCTGATCCCCCCAAAACTCACCTAAAGCAGTACCCACTTGGTATCCCAGAGCTAGAGAATGGGGACACTGCTGGCCAGCGTAGCCTTCACAGTGAGCCCTAGGGAGAGATACTGAATTAAAAAGCTAGGTGGACAACACCCCAGAAACCACACTGGCATGGACCCACGGCCTCCAAATACATGCACATGCGTGTAGCATGCCACAAAAAACTAACTGAAATAAGGAGAGTTAGCTCTCCGTTGGTTTTAACTGATCTGCTTTGGAAAATGAAACTGCTGAATCTACCCATAACATGAATTTCCCCCTGGAACTCCTGAACATTTCATTATTTTTTATACTTAAAATTTTTGCTTTTAGCATCTATATTTTCAGGTTTTCCTTCCTTGGTGTGTGTGGTGTTCAAGTTGCTGAATTTCCCATTTAACATGAAATTTTGACTTCAGTCCCCCGTAGTGAGCCTTGAGGTTTGCAGAGGACATTCTTCCAAGGCTTATCCATCTCCGTCACCATGTGAGCGCGAGCTCGCAACCCAGTGCTCCCAGCCTCACTGGAGGTGAGCCTGTCCCCCTTTTCTGAATGAAGGGCTGAACTGTAGTTAACACTTCGAGGTTTGTCTCCCCAGTGAATCTCCAAAACTACAAGGAAGTTGTGATCACACAGGCTGGCAAACTGTTTCCACAGTGAACAGCACGTTCACCCCAATAACAACTGTTTGGTGTCTCTGACAGTGACTACAAAGCGTGTCATCTGGCTTAATCGTCAAAGCAGCCCTCAGAATTTAGTGTTCCGTCAGTCCCATTTTACAGGAGAAACATGGGCGATTACTGGCCTCCAGTCAGTGGGAGAGCTGAGCTATGACCCAGGCAAACATTAGTTCTAGCCCTGACTGTTGGAGTCTATGGAGTGGAGCTCTCAAAGGTCTGTGTAGCTTGCAGGCTACTCAGGATTCTGGGAGCGACAGGCAGTTATAGTCTCTCCTGATGAGAGTGGAAAGGCACAGGACATAGGCTATTCATCCTCAAGAGTGTGTGAAGGAAGAGGAGAAAGAGGAGGAGGAACTGGGTGAGGAGGGGGATGAAGAGCCCCCCCCAAACAAGGATATGGTGAGGAGGGAGGCCTGAGGAGGCTGGGCACTTCCCGGCATCTCCAGCAGCTAGACGGCAGTGAGCAAGCCCTCCTACAGGTGCAGTGGCAGAGCCTTCGGAGCTCTACTTGTTTACCTAGGTGAACGGCCTCAAAATCACAGCAGTATCAGGACACCGCGTGGTCCATTCCTGCTGTCCCCGCCTAACCTCCCACTCAGCCACGCACTCCCAGCTCCTTCCTCTCAGCTCCTTCCTCCATCACACTCACCAAAGTCCCATGCTCAGGCATGTTCCTCCCCGGATGTCCACGTGCAAACCTCACCCCCTTCTGCAGGTTATCTGTCCAAATCTCGTCTCCCATAGGGGCCTAGCTTCCCTCCCTGTCCACATGCCACCCACAGCTGCCCCTGCTGCCTGTTCCCTCCCCCTGCCCCTCACCCTCCTACCCCTCACCCTCCTGCCATGTAGCACACCTGGGGCTCACTGATACTCCTTGCCATTTGTTCCCAGAACATAAACTTTCTCTCAGGGCAGGGATCTGGTCTGCTTCATTGTCCTCAAGGATTGTCCGAGAGTCTGGAATGAAGTTCGGCTCATGGTGTGCACACAGTAAATATTTGGTGAATGAATGGGTGAGGAGGTCACAGGCAGAGCTGCCTGCTGGGAAAGAGTGCAAAGGAGGGGAAGAAAGCAGGGCAGGCTAGTGGTCAGTGCTGGAGATCTAGTTCAGGAGGGTAGGGAAAAGGCCTCTGCTCTGGCCTCTGACCTTTGGCTTGAGTGTGCACCTCCCCAGTTGCCTCCCACCCAAAGGAAAGGAAGCCAGCCCCATGGGGGGGGGGGGGTTGTAGCCATAGACTCTGACCCACAGCTCCTGGTACTCAGAGGAAACCTCCCCATTCAGAATACCCACTTGTTTTTCGAATGGACTAGTGTCAAATATGAAGTGTAAGAGCAGATGAGAAGACCTGTGATGTTTTCTCAGTAAACACTGGGCGAGCCAGAGCGGCCTCTGTGCCCGCTGACCTGCAAGTGTGATGGCCCCAAGGGCTCTTTACACAGCAATAATGCACTGTAACTGCGTGCTGCTGTTGGGGACCTGGCTCTCGGAGGCTGCTCTTCTGTCCCATTAATTACTGCAGTGGAGGAAGTGAGGTCAGGCCTCCCACCAAGGCAACTGGGCTCACAGGGCCGCTCTGCGGTTCCTCAGGAAGGCGTTTTTCTTATCCACACAGCATCACCATCTCAGGCCAACAAATCCTGTTAAAGCGAAGACAAAGGGGACAGAAGAGCTCCATCTGGAGGTATGCCTCTGTGTCTCCACACAGACCAGGGCCACCGTGGCCAGGAGCAGGGCCTGCCCACTCTCTCAAGCTTCCCAGCACCAGGGTTTTGGCCAAGGGCAGGGTTGCTGGGACCAGAGTAGGGTAGTATGATGACGTCAGTGTAAAATGAGAGGACAAGGACGCCTGGGAGCAGGCCACACACACACACACCAGTGAGTGGCCAGCTGGGTGGTGGCCGCAACTCCCTCTGGAGCTCATAGAAGGTGTCTTCCTGCAGTCTGTAGTTGCTCACCTCACGATGGCCATATAAATGAATGACTTCTACACAGTCTCCCTCAAGGTCTCTGGGGCTCCTAGCAGTGAAGTCATCTTTTCAGGGACAAAAAAGTCCCAGCATCAGCTAGTGTGAAGCTCTGGGCGAAGCAGGACTGTCACGGCTCCTTGGTGACAGGCAGTTTGAACATTTCCCTCCCGAGTCAATGACAACGCTGGCCTGGCTCTGGAGACCACCCAGGACACGTTCAGCTGTCAGTGGGCATCTGTGTTTCCAGAGCTTCAGGGACCAGGGGAGAGACTACAGGCTGACGAGAGTCGGGAAGAAGTCTTGTCTCTGGGTGCAGGCATCTTGGTTTCCCCCCGGGGATCCCCTCAGTGACAGGCGGTGAGAGTGTTCCATGTTGATCTCGGGTGAGCCTGGGGGACCTGCCGCAGAGCCTGTGCGTGTGTCTGGTCCCAGGCTGGGGTGGATTGTTTCTTCTCTGTGACTGAGGTCTCTCAGGCCAGTGTGTGTTGGTGGCCTCTGGCCCCTGGTCACTCTTGTCTTGAGTGTTCCCACAGCCTCCCTTTACCCACCTTGTTCCCTGCACTGCCCTGGCTGATGCCAGGCCTTGTCTTCCTGTTGCCTTTTCTCAGTATCCTGTGCTCTCCAACCAGGTCAGTGCCTCCTCTGTCCATGATCGACCCCCACCAAGGTACGTGACAACTGATGAGGCTGTCCTTTCAATCCAGAGACAGTTTCATACTTACCAACTCTGCAGCAGCTCCTGCGCACCCCTCCCCACGCTCACATAGATGTGAGATCCAGAAGGTGTTTGCTTAAACCCCTGACCTACATTCTCCATCATGCAGCCATCCAACCTGGAAATGGCTGGGCAGCACCTATTGCCAACACAAACAGGGCTGCACTGTGCTGTGCTCTCTGTGGCCCTGCACCCCTCCCACCCTCTCTGCCTGGCTGGCCCACACACCCTTCAACCAGGAGGAGGGCAGCTCCTCTGTGATGCCCTCCTGAGGCCTGCAGGTCAGGCTGACTCCTTTCCAATGGAGTCTCTAGGGCCTGGCCCTGCCCTAAGCATGCATTTACCTCTCCCAGGATGCCTTGGATGAGCAGGGCAGAAAAGCTCATGTTTGCCCTCCAGCATTGGGATGCAAACTGGGCCTATGACTAAGGGGTGTGATCTTGGTTTAGAGTGTGGAGGGTTTTCCAAACTGGCCTGAAGATGGACCTGATCCCTCTGACATTTGGCTACCTCACTGACACCTCAATGAGCCACAGTTCAAGGTTTAGTAGCATACATAAAATTAATGGCTTAGGGCTGAACATTCCATAGAGACTCTTACAAAATAGACATGTGGAGGCAGCTAGAGGCTTTGCTCCCCTGTCTTGTGACTTTCAGGAGATTCCAGGGCCTGCAGAGCTCAGGTTCTGGTGTGGAAACAGGTGACCTACCACTGTTATGACAGACCTGACTGGGACAGAGGAAATAAAGAAAAGGCAAATGCAAGAACACACAGATGGGGCTGGAGAATTGGCTCGGTGGTTAAGAGCCCTGGTCACCCTTCCAGAGATCTTGAGTTCAATTCCCAGCACCTACATGGTGGCTCACAACCATCCTTAATGAGATCTAATGCCCTCTTCTGTCATGCAGGCATACATGCAAGTAGCACACTCATATACATAAATAAATAAATCTTAAAAAAAAAAAAAACAATCTAGAGCCAGGTGGACTAGGCCCTGTGATGAAGAAGCTGCTCCAGGAGCAGGGGTGTTTATTATTGGGGGGGGTTGCATACAGCTGAACATGGGCACATTACATACAGAGAAACAAGGAGGCAGGGCTACTACATACAGCTGAACAAGGAGGCGGGTTCAGCTGATCTCAGTAGAAGCAGCATCTACCGGGAGCAGCTTCCAGGCCGTAAAGGTCCCTGGGTTGGAGCTGTGGTGGGCATTTTCTGCACATACTATCAACACCTACACTTGGGCCTGGGAAGGCTCTGTCACCCCTCCCTCAGAGTCTCACCTGGGGAAGGGTTGCCATCTCCATGGGGCTGAGGCATTAGGGGTCCTTGACACAGCTATGCCCATGTCAACAGCCCACATTGGCTCAGGCCTTCACCACACTGCTCTGTCCCCTCCACAGAGCTCTGTGAGAACAGGTGAGGAAATGCCCAGAGCACAGGGAGGCTCCTACAGTTACGAAGCACTGCATTACTGGAGTTCTCTCTGCAGATGTAGAGAGACCAGGGAAGGGGGGCTTTGCAGCCCTTGGCTCCCTCCCTCAGGGTGTGCACACACTAGGAAACCACAGGCACCTAAAGCCTCTCCACTGACCAGGGGTGGCCTTTTCCAGTATTGGGGTGGGGGAGGGCTCCCCAGTCAGGGCCTTCCTTTCACAACCCCATCTGGCACCCAACTCCAAGCTCTCATCTACGCAGTCCCTAAGACAAGACCATTTGACCTCCCAGTTTCTTCTCAAAACATCCTGGCAGCTCCCTGGCTGGAAACCCAGTGGCACTAAATAGAGATTTATGTGACATGCCTCAGGGGAGAAGCCCAGAGGGGTTTGTTTAAAAGTAAATTCGTCAAGCCAAGCTGAGTCAGGGTCTGACCTACAACCTCTACTGACCCTCCCCAGCCATGGGAAGAGTGCCTAGCTACACTAACAAAGCTCAGCAGGGGCTTCCACGTCAGGCTCCAGTTTCCTTTAGCCACCAACAGATGAGCTCTGAGTTGGCTGTACCCACACCTCAGGTCCCTCTGTTGTCCCCAGGGGCAGCTCCAGTTCCTTCTGCATTCCTGCTGTCCTGACCCAGCCGCCCTACTTTCCCTCCCATACTTTTCCTTACCCCAGGTGCCCACCTGCCCAGAAAAACCAGGGTCTGTTCAGCCCAAGGAGCAGAGAGCATCTTTCACAGACAGGGCGAGTGTCTGCCTGCCAGCTTTGTTCTGAAGGGGACAGGAGGCTGTCCCATGCCCGGAGACCCTTTTGGCCACCAGGGAACCATGAACTCCTAGAAGTGAGACTTGCACCCGTGTGCCAGGCTCCCTGAATGAGACACATCAGAGAGTTCTGTGAGAATCGGAGGGAGAGAGCTGTGCCTGCTTGACACCTGGAAGTTGGCCCCTTGCCCCCCCCCCCCCCACACCTTTCCTTCTCCTTGGCTTATGGGTCTCCTGCTGTATTGCACTTCTCTGCTCAGACCACATGAATTTCTTCACGCTTCCTTCCAATACCCCATACCACCATTAGTGGATGCTCCACGCTGCCCAGGCACACCAGGACCAATGAGCCACCGGCTTCGGGCCTCAAGGTGTCCTCAGGCAGATAGCTGCCCTCACGTTGAGCACTAGGAGGGGTGAGGGATACAATAACCTGCGGTGCTTCGCAGAAAAGAGATGGGAGGGTCAGTCTCTGACCTCAGGTGCAGGCCTAGGTAGGATTTTCCCTTTCTGCAATTCTAGGGCTTCACAGGCCAAGGCTCAGTCATTCTGCCACAGCCTGGAGACCTTGCCCTGCTTTCTGTAGACAGCTCTAAAGCCATCCTTCAGTGCTGCATGAGTGCCCTCCAGTGGGCCACGCTGACCCCCCCCCCCCACCATCATGTCTGTCCATCCTTCCGAGTCATCTTCTCTGCCCCGTAGCCAGGGAGACCTTGAGTTATGTGGCCCTAGAGATTGTTGACCACTTCAGCCACATTGAATTCTCCCCTGCCATCTGGTGGCTGAAGTTTGCAACTGCCGCCATTCTGTGGCTGGCCTGGTGCTGACCACTTGGTCAACTCGAAGGTCCCTGGGGACCTGCTCCCCTTCTGAGTCATGGATGGTGAGAAAAGCTGTTATCCATGAGGCCCTGTGTCCCTGTCCCTGACCAAGTCCAGCAGGGAAGCATAAGAGTCTACCTGAGAAGACCCTCAAGTCCCACCTGTCCACAGGGTTCCTAGCCAGAGACACCTTCAAGACCCCCATGGATACTGTAGTCTTTCAGGACGATGGGCTTTCCC